AGAGACAGAGAGAGAGAAAAGAAGAGAAGGGAAAAGAGAAGAGGAGAAGAGAAAATGGGGTTGGGAGAACAAGCCGGTGCATGTGTAGCTTGAGGCAAGGTCATAGAGAAGACGTAACACACACACTAACCTACAGGGTCAAAACAGCTCGGGTGAAGTAGCAGGATGAGCTTCCCAGCAGTGTGCAGAAAAGGGAAAACAGTAATACACAACTCAGTTCGCTTTGTCTGGGCCTTTGTGATGGGCACGGCAGCCTTCCAGGACAGCCTGGCCAGTGGGTGGGTGGAATCTCCCTCTGGGCGTTTCCTGGCTTATAAATTTGCATGCAGCAGCATAGTTCAGGGGTTGGACTCAGGGCTCAGGAAAGGCCATGCCAAGCCATGGGCCCTGGGGAGTCATTGTCTCACCCTAAGCAAGCCACTGCCCTTCTCTGGGCCACAGTTCCCACAGGAGCCATGGGTTAGCCCAAAAAGTGACAGGAGCCCCTTTTGTTGCTACCCGGATGAAGCTGGGCCTAACTGGCAGTGCACAAGTTATCCACTTCGAGCTAAAGTGGGGGGAGGGGATCAGCGCTGTCATTTCATTAAGCTAGAGATGGAATAGGGAGGTGACGCACGGTGCATGGTAGGGGATTAGACTCAAACCTAAGTCCCTCTGACTCTGGAGTCTCTGTGCAGTGCGCTGAGACTGCAAAGGTGGCCCAGGGTGAGATTTGGCATGGAGGAGAAGCCCCACACTTGGGGAATCCTTTCTTCATCCCAGGTACTAGCCTCCTGTCCTCTCCCTAAGCCCTGGCCTCTGGCTCAGAGTCCCCTGTGTATGTGGCATCTGACTCTGGTGCAAGCTGAGAACTGAGGCTGGGAACCCAGGTTCTGAAACTCTGACACCTCAGCTCTTCTCCTGAGAGCAGGTCGGGGTTTCCAGACCCAGGTTTGGGAGCAGAGAGGGAGTGGAATGGTGAGGAGATGGCGGCAGGATGGGCATGGGTCTCTAAGCCAGGCTTGGAGGGCCCAACTGGCAGTGGAGGGCCTCAGATCGGCAGGTCTCCTGAGACAACTGTTGAAGGCAGTCCCTCTTTCCTCTTAGACTCCAGTGCTTCCAATTGCACCTAAGAGGAGTCAGTTTCATGCTAACCCCTACTAGAGGACCATGGGCCCGGGGCGGTGGGGGCTACATCTAACCAAGTGCAATCAGGTGGGCAGTGAGGTGTACGGCAGAGCCTGTGCTCTGGAAGGGCTTTGGAAGTGTGGGAGTGCGGAAGGAAAGAGGGCAGGGGGCATTTCAGGGACTTGTGCGTCTGTGCTCTTGGGGGCCCAGGTGATAGCGAGTGCGGCAGGAGCTGCCTCCTCACTGCAGCAACCCTGACATAGCGGCTGCTGGGCCAGACTGTGTGTGCACTGCTGTGCCCGGCTGTGGGTTCAGAGATCACATGACGTGCAGCAGGCCTGTGGGGGCTCTAGGTGGGCAGGCAGGGCAGCTTTTCAACAGAAGTGACCCCTGGGCTGCAGCTGAAAGATGACCCAAAACTGGCCATATGAAAAGCTGGAGAGGGATAGCACCAGGCTGGGAATCAGCTGGCACAAAAGCCCTGAGGGAGGACCATCACAACATGCTTGAAGAGCTGAAAAAATGTCTGTGGCTAGTCCCAGTGTGGTCGTGCACGCTTATAATTTCCAGCATTCTGGAGGCTGAGACAGGAGGATTGCTTGTGAGCTTGAGGCCAGCCTGGGTTACAAAGTAAGCTCAAGGCCTGAACTGCAGACCAAGACCTTGTCTCAACAAACTGACAAAAACAAGGTGTCTGTGGTTAGACAGTAGCAAACAGAATGGAGGTGGCAAGACCGAAGTGGGAAAGGTGGCCAGGAGTCAGGGCCTGATGCAATCGCTGAGTGAGAAATGAAGGTAGTGTAGACTGAAAAAAAATTGACAAAAGTCACAGCGTAATGATGTCCTTGATGTGCAAAGACCTCTTCTATATCAAGTGTCTCCAAGAGTGTAGGAAAATAGTTTGTGGGTGGTGGGCTGGTAGATTTACACTATCATTTTGAGGGGCGTCTGGGAAATCTATAAAGATTTTTGACATTTTGGCTAGGTAGAGTGATGCATATTTATAGTCCCACCCCTTGAGGAGGCTGAGACAGGAGGATCACTTTATCTTAGGGTTTAGGGCCAGCCCCGGCAGCATAGTGAGAGTCTCATCTCAAAAATAAAACTATGCCCTGTGCCTCAGAAATCTTCTTCTGGGAATCAAATATAATCAGAGACACGTGTGTGTTCCTGCATAATCAAAACACCGGGTGCATCGGGCAAGTCCAGATTCCAAGCTAGAGGCACCAGGCAAGTATTAGGGTGGAAAAAGAAGTAGCCGCTGCTGCCAGACAGCTGACGTCTGGTGGCAGATGGAAATCACGAGTTAGGCACAGAAATAAAGCCCAGAGCTGGGTGTGGTGGTGCATGCCTGTAATCCCAGAGCATGGGAGGCTGAGGTAGGAGGATCA